CGGCCTGGCCATGGCGGCGCCCTCCGAGGAACCAGGAGATCTGGGCGTCGCAGTTTTTTTTTCGCAGCGCGTATCTTCGCCCAGTGTCGGGCCCCGGAGCCATCACAGAGCGAGCCAGCTCGAGCAGTGCCGCAGAGAGACGTGGTCTAGGGTTCGGGTCGTGATGCGTCGCGATGCTTGATTTGCTTTGCACCTTCGGATATGAGGGTCCTCCTCCTCCTCCTCCTCCTCCTCCTCCTCCTCCTCCTCATCCTTCCGCTTCATCCCTGGCTCGAGCTGTGGTCACCCCAGGTCCAGACCCTTTTTCCGGGACCAGTTTTTCGCCCTGAGGAGTTTTCTGACGGTCGCCACGGCTGGTGAGGGCCCCGGGGGGGCCAAAAGTTACCAAAAACATTCCGGTCGTGAGTTTTTCGCGAAGCGAGAATGTCAGCGCTCTTCCCCGACTCGAAGCGTTGGGTCTCTCTGGGTTGGCCCCACTTTCGTTGGCCGCGCCCCGCTCGAAAAGCTTTGACATGGGCGTCCAAGGCCCTTGCATCCTCATCGAGCCTCCTTACCTATAGGACCACCCTGCGGGTGATAAGGAGGTTTGGGGGGGAGGGGGCCAGCAATGGGCAACAGTAGTGATTGTTGTTCTGAGGATGCCAGTGGAGATTGTTGCATTGCCGCTCGCTCTTGGGAGCCTTGGTGTCGAGTTGTTTACGTCACCCTTCGCTCTTTGGCGCCTTGGTACCAGTCTCCCCCGGGGAACTTATGAAATAGTACGTTTTTTCGTTCATTTTGCAGTTGCTTGGGGGGCCGTTTGGGCGCGTCTTTTGGACTTCTTGGGAGGCTCTTGGCGGCCTCTTGGAGGGCTCTTGGGGGCCTCTTGGGTGCCTCTTGGGAGCATTTCGATCTGCATTTCGATTTGCATCTCACTATCGGTCTCACTATCGATCCCACGATCGATCTCACTATCGACCTTACTATCGATCTCACTCGATCGATCTCACTATTGGTCTCACTCGATCGATTTCACGGTCGATCTCACTCTCGATCTCGCTTTCGATCCCACTATCGATCTTACTGCCGACATCACTCCATCGATCTCACTATCGATATTACTCCATCGATCTCACTATCGATCTCTCTATCGATCTCTCTATCGATCTCAATCGATCGATATCACTATCGATCTTACTCAATCGATCTCACCATAGATCACACTATCGCTCTCACTATCGATCCCACAATCGATCTCACCATCGATCTCACTCGATCGGTCTCACTATCGATCACACTATCGATTTCACAATCGATCTCACAATCGATTTCGTCATCGGTCTCACTATCGTTTTCGCACCAGCGGGACACCGGGACACCAGCGGGACAACGGCGGGACAACGGCGGGACACCGCGCGGCCCCGTTTACCGCTCGGGAAACATTTGGTCTGGCCGCGTGTCAGCCACAGGAGACTTACCGGGACACCAGCGGGACACCGGCGGGACACCGCGCGGCCCCGTTTGCCGGGGGGGAATCATTTGGTCCGGCGGCGCCTCAGCCACAGGAGACTTTCCTCTCGCCCGTCCACGCAGCTTCGCCTCGCCCGCACGCACGGCACGCACGAACACGAAACCGAAACCGATTTCCCGGTGGGGGGCTCTCCGTTCCATTTCGATCTCACCCCCCAACCTCCGATCGATCTCACTTTCGATCTCACGATCGATCTCACTATCGGTCTCATTATCGATCTCACTATCGATCTCACAGTCGATTTCGTCATCGGTCTCACTATCGTTTTCGCACCAGCGGGACACCGGAACACCGGCGGGACACCGGCGGGACACCGCGCGGCCACGTTCGGGAAACATTTGGTCTGGCCGCGTGTCAGCCACAGGAGACTTACGGGGACACCAGCGGGACACCAGCGGGACACTGCGCGGCCCCGTTTGCCGGGGGGGAATCATTTGGTCCGGCGGCGCCTCAGCCACAGGAGACTTTCCTCTCGCCCGCCCACGCAGCTTCGCCTCGCCCGCACGCACGGCACGCACGAACACGAAACCGAAACCGATTTCCCAGTGGGGGGCTCTCCGTTCCATTTCGATCTCACCCCCCAACCTCCGATCGATCTCACTTTCGATCTCACGATCGATCTCACTATCGGTCTCATTATCGATCTCACTATCGATCTCACAGTCGATTTCGTCATCGGTCTCACTATCGTTTTCGCACCAGCGGGACACCGGAACACCAGCGGGACACCGGCGGGACACTGGCGGGACACCGCGGGCCACCGCCTGCCGGAGGGAGAATCATTTGGTCTGGCCGGGGCCCAGCCACAAGCGGGACACCCGAGAATCATTTGGTCTGGCCGCGCCTCAGCCATAGGAGATTTTCCTTTCGCCCGCCCACGCAGCTTCGCCTCGCCCGCACGCACGGCACGCACGAACACGAAACCTAAACCGATTTCCCGGTGGGGGGCTCTCCGTTCCACTTCGATCTCACCCCCCAGCCTCCGATGATAACACGGGCCGGCTGTATGTCGAAGGCATGTGCGTGTCCACGGTCTCGCCAGCACACTCAGGACGGAAGTCTTCCGTCTCCGAGCGGCCCCGACTCTTCCCCCCTGCGCGGCCGCCCTGTCCGTCCTCTTCCTTCTCCTGCACGCCAGCCAATTCGCTTCCCGGCGCCCCCGTTTAGCTCTATCGCTGGTGCAGCCATTCTGCCTCGCCGCCAACGAATGTATATGTATATATATATATATATACACAAACGCACTTTTAGCGTCGGCGGCTAGGCAGAGGGTGACTGCGCTTGGCGATAAAAGGCGTGAACGGGGTTCCGTTGGAGCGAATTGTGCCACCATTTGAGAAGGAGGAGACAGCTGTAACACTTCGGCAACGCGTGGATCAGCCAAGCTCTCACGTGCATCGACTGCAATCGCCTCACCAAGCAGGAGGATGATGATGATGAGGAGGAGGAGGAGCAGGAGGAGGAGGAGGAGGAGGAGTACTAGAGTAATCCCAAGGTGCATGAACGATGTGTTGCAATGCATCGGTCTGGCCCGAAGGCCTTCATAAGTCCTTACAGTTCCTTTCCACTTCAACTGGCGCCCCCTTGATATACCAACGCCCTATCTGCAGTTTAGGCAGGAGTCTCGCCTTGGAAAGGAACGGCCTGGGTTGCATTGCTCCAGCGATTGACAAGAAATGCGCAAAGGTATAATGGGGAGCTGGAGTGGTCGGAGGAGCGTCCGCTCTCCGTGCGTTTTTTCACTGACATGTTGGATCGTGCCTCGGCGTTCGCAGCGGCTTACTGGATGGAACACGCCTCCAGACTGGGAGGGTCATCAGCATGATGGGCGGGCCTCCCCTTTGAGGCTCTCTGGAGGTGCAGAGACCCCCACAGTGGAGCGGAAGCCATCGGAAGGGGGGTGGCGGGCCTCCGTTTTGAGGGCCTTCGGATAGAAGAAACATGCAGCTACAGTATGTTCGGGTCGTGTCGACCGGCGGCGACCCTGCCGCTGGCGTTCGACGTGGAACGCCGCCGCCGACCCAGACTCGGTCGATGTTGAGTGGCCAGAGGAGTCATCAACGATGTTGGAATTGACCTTCCTTCCAAGCTCCCTCTTCATAGGCCCCTACAACGGTTCATTTCTATTGAGGGAGTTGCCTCGGTGGAAGACAACAGTTTGAAGACCCTGAAGCATGCCAAACATTGTCGTCCTCCGGATTTCAACGCCACCCATCAACCTGACTGCTGCGTCTTGACGATCCAGAACCGTACCATTATGCCATTCTTGCAATTTCAACACAGCCCATCAACATAATTGTTGCGCCCGCATGCTCCCGATCCCTTCCAAAACACCGCTTCTGGTACGCTGATCATGGGAATATGCGAAACCCTTGCAATTTTCCAAAACGAATGTGCGCGGCGCTAAGGCGAGAGCTACATTTTGAAAAAAGGACCCGCCCTCAATTCGTGGAGCGCTTGCAATTATTAAACGAATGTGCGCGGCGCCAAGGCGAGAGCCACATTTTGAAAACGACCCGCCCTCCATCTGTGAAGCGGCTGTTATGTTTTAAGCTTCGGAGTCATAAATGGTCAGGAAGTCTCAGGGGGCCTCGGGAGTGCGACTGGGAGGAGTTATCTATAAGGAGAAGGAATGGAGGAGGTGGAGGAGAAGGAGGAGGGCGAGGGGGAGGGGGAGGGGGAGGGGGAGGAGGAGGAGGAGGCGGAGGAGGCAGGAGGAGGAGGGAGGAGGAGGAGGAGGAGGAGGAGGGCCTCTTCGCGGTCGCCGAGGTCCGTCGGAGGCCGCTCCACGGACCCCCCCGCCCCCCCCCAGCGGCGGAGCGAGAGCCTGGCCTTCGGGCCTCGACCCTCGGCGTCGTCGGTTGATCCTCCCGTCCCCTCGAGGCCTCTGCCCTCGAGCCTCGAGGCCTCCCCCTCGACCCTCGGCGTCGTCGGGCGATCCTCCCCTCGCCTCGAGGCCTCTGCCCTCGAGCCTCGAGGCCTCTGCCCTCGATCCTCGGCGTCGTCGGGCCCTCGAGCCTCGAGGCCTCCCCCTCGATCCCCGGCGTCGTCGGGTGATCCTCCCGTCGCCTCGAGGCCTCTGCCCTCGAGCCTCGATCAGGATGGAGTTCCCTGGATATGGCAGCCTCGGCACCGGTGTACATCCGTAGACCAGCACTGACCTGATCCAGCACAGCCTCGCGCCATCCGGCTTTTGCCCGCTTCCTCCAGCTTCATCCTGGGCTTTTTCTGGCCTGGTCCGGCTTCGTGTCCCACTGATCGAGTTTCGTAGTCTCCAGTTGTTCTTGCGAAGACCTCCCAGAAGCAGGATTTGCCGCTCGGCTGTTCTTGCGGAAGCCTTGTGCTTACGAAGATATTGTTCTTACGATGACCTTGCTCTTACAAAGGCATCGTTCTTAATCGGTCCTGTGAAGACCTCGCCGTTACTCATACTTGATCAATCCTAATCGTTCACAGGAAGACCTCGCTCTTATGAACCTCCTCTCGGGAGGAGCTCCGACCGCCAGCGCCTGGAGCTAAGCGCCCCCATCAAGGGCGAGTGGCTGCGCAAGGCGCGTGAGGACAGCCCGCACTTGGAGATAATCAAGGTGCCGCTGTCGCAGATGAGCCTCGACGATTCACCGGGCTGACGCCCCGCTCGTCGCCCCGCTCGTCGCCCCGATCTTGCCTCGAGGTTGAGAAGTAGGCCTCCCGGTCGCCCTTCTCGTTCTCGTCCTCGTCCTCGTCGTCGTTGTCGTTACCGTCGTCGTCGCCATCGTCGTCGGCCTACTCGTCCTCCCTCCTCCTCCTCCTCCTCCTCCTCCTCCTCCTCCTCCTCCTCATCCGCCATCGTCCTCGTGTTCTGCTCGGGCTTCTTCTGTGTGTGAAGTCCGCTCATGTCACCATTTCTCCTTATCTACCGCTGACGTGTTGGTAAAACATTTGGCGCTGCCTCATTCGCAGCGCCCTGGAAAAAAGGACTCGCGACCCTCTTCCTTTCCTACCTCTACCCACGGGAACCCTTGTAGGTTCGATTCTTTGGTCATCAACCTACATCCACAGGTTACCAGCCTATTATTGGGCTGGCCTCCGGCCAGTGCCGCCGATCGGGGGGGGGGAGCGATCTTGGGCGGTCTGGGCTCCGGATATGGAGTTCTCTATACCCCCCTGTCCCCGGGTACCGAAAAACGTCGGAAATGACGTCGAAATTAATGTGCGCCCCCCCCCCCCCCCTGCAGAGCGAAGCTTGAGCGAGCTCAAGTCCCCGCTCTCAGAAACTCATTGCGGATCGGCGGATGTTACGCTTTCCGTTGCGACGCACCGCTTCGTCTTTGCCTCCGCCGCTTGGCCCTGGACCCCACTGGGAAGAGGGCCTCTATGCGTGCAGGGTCTTCGACAGAGTGTGGGCGCAGCGACCACACGGAGAGGGCGAGAGGATCGAAGATACCGCTATGTCAGTTCGAGGCGACGGCAGCACCGCGTCGCTCGTGGCCGCGCTCGAGGAGATCATTCCTGACTCGCCATCACCGCCGCTTGCGCGCGCATCCACTCACGCGCTTGGGCCCTCACATCAAGCTCCGGCGCCTGGTCCGTCCAATACCTTTCCTGGCGCCGCCTATGATTGTGCCCGCGCGCCGGTGGAAGCACCAGCTGTTGGCCTCGGAGTCATCGTTGGATTCGCCTCGCCTCCATCTTTTTCTTCTCCTACCTTCGCCGGCGGAGACACCCGCAGCGGCGGCGCCAGAGAAACGTCCTGTGACAACGCTTTCGCGCGCCTCCGCTGTTGAGAAGATGTCATGTCCCCCACTATGGCTTCCGTCTGTGATCACGCGCGTGTCGTTGAAGATCGTATTGGATGGACATCTCAGCGAAGGGCCCCTGAACGGTATCACATCCAGTTTCCCAGTAGGCACAATCGCCGCAGCCCCTCGCAGAGGCGCTCCCGGCAACGCTCCCTGCGGCGCGACATTGCATCGCACGCATCGCCTTCGGCCCGTGATCTGGCCGAGCCTAACCAGGTTGAAATCTACACGACCCAACAAGTGTCGGGTCTTACATTGCGCATACAGCAACACAAAAAGGCAAAATCTACACCACGCCCTTGCCCTTGTCGACGGTCGGATCGCTGAAGATCGATCGATCCTCACCCGGGTCCAGTATCATGTCGACCGCATGGAGTCACACCGAAGTTCCGATGCCACTGCAATTCAGACGTTCCACGACTATTTCCTCCGAGTGGAGGCCCAACACATGAGCGTCATGGACACGGGCACAGCCGCTGCCATGGGCACTACACGATGAGCTCTTGACAGTGCGGCAGGTTCCAGCTACTGATGTACATGGGACTACGGACCAACAGCTCCGTGATGACCTCATTGCGCCTCGTGATCAAGTTGATGTGACAACTGCCAACCTCCATCCCCAGCATACCACAACCACGTCCGAGTTGCACGGCGATCTGTGCACTGCCGATTTGGCTAATGCTCAGCGTCTCGATGCAGAAGGGGGACGGGTGCATCGAGTCTCCACGGTCGAGCAGCAGTTGCCTGAAATGCAGGCTGCACTGGCTGAGTTGCATGTTGTACGGACCCAGAGTGGCACCCCGACTTCGGTTTACAGGCGGCCCGGATTCGTAGGTCGACCCTGCCAGATCAAGGGTGCCCTCGTGTCCTGTGTCTTGCGACCCGTGCCTCTTGCATTTCTGTGGCAACGCGGCTCTCGGAAAGGGTTTTGTGTCCTCTCCAAGCAAGTCCGATTGTGTGATTTCGGCCCCCTCACTGCAGAGATGGCCGAGGTAAGGAAGGCGGCGGACCACGTGCAGTTACGGTACGACTCACCCAGATCTCCCAAGAAAGTCAGTTGCCCTTCGCAGCCGCCAGGACCCGCCACCGATAATGCCCCGAGCCTCGCCGATGGCAACATCCGCACAGGACAACCGCGACGTACGTCACCAGGGACCGCCTCTGCAGCCGCCTCAACACAGACACGTCAAGTATCTCCTGTGTGTGCACCATCGCTGGCACCACCACTTCCGCCACATTATAGATCACCGTGTTGTCTTGGTGGCGCCACCCATATCCAGGAACCAGATACTGTGCGTATTCCTCAACTGCCACGGATTACTCAGTTACATGAGTGGCAACAAATGATCAGGGAACATGTTGGCAGCGCCTCCGGACGCCCTGCCAATGCATGAAAAATCCTCTATGCTGCTGGACAACCTGACGCTACATTTTAGGACTTACAAGGCAGTGGCGATTTCGAGAGCATCGATTGTAAGCTCGCCGCTGGACTATCGGTCGTTCTTAATACGGAGCTCCGTTGCATAGTGGAGAACCTCGAAGCTCAGGAGCACAAAGCCGGTCGCATCTTGATAGGCAGGCAGATCTATTGGACGGTGCTGCAATCTTAGAAGGTCACTGACGTCGACGACGCGCTGCGCGATTTTGAACGTCTACAACTTATTCGCATGCGGGGCGATGTCATCCAACGTTTTTTTGGGGGGGATTGGGGCAATTTACTTGTGGAGTGCAGTGACCTACCCGGCACGAATATTCTCGAGTCATTGTTCCATGCGCAGATCCGCATACACCCATGGATGAAGTAAGACACGCGCGACTACGACAAGATGAAGATGGGCCCCAATCGCACATGCGATTGGCTGTGAGAACGTATTCTGGCCAAAGTCGAGGTGCGCCGACTCGAGCGTGACCGACCCAACCTCAAGAACGAGACGACTTGTCGCGAATTGGCCGCATGCGCAGCATGCATGGCAGGTCGTCGCAAAACGGCGAACGGTGCGCACTGCTGCGCGCTGGCTTCGGCAGCCGTTCCACGCCGCGACCTCGCGGGCGCGCGTCGCTGGCCGACGCGGATGCCCGCCGGGGTCGATCCTCCACGGGGCGAGGCGCGCAACGGCCGCCCAAAGGTGGAGGCGCCGAAAACTTTTTCCCCCCGCAAAACGCGGCATCTGCCCGCGACAAGGCTGGTGCAGATGGCCTCGCGTTGAAAAGTGCAGCATTTTTGCCGACCCAGGCAAAAGCTGCGAGTTGGGCAGCGGTTGCCGCTGCGCCCGCATCGCGTCTGACACCGAGGCCCCCGAGAGGAGCCCTAGCCGCGCCTGCAGTCAGGGCAGCCGCAGCGCGACGCCCCCCCCCTGGACGTTCGGAGAGCAGCCGGCGCTCCTCGGGGGGGCGCCGGGGCTCGCGGAGTCCGGGGGGCCGCAGGTGGATTGATCGGGTTCCGATGGATTTGCGATGGGGTGCGCGGCGCCTGCGTCGATTCCGTTCTCGTTCGCGGCGCGGCAGCCGAGGGGCAGTCGGGGGCGTTCGCGCGCGCGACGGCAGCGGCAGCAGCGGCAGCGAACGGTCGCCTTCGACGCGCTACAGGCCCCGGCCCCCTGCAGCAGCGCGACGCGCTCGACGGCGGCACCGCGCGTGCGTGATCCGTGAAAAGACTTTGGTCGTCGCAGGCCAACAACCGCGGCGCCTGCGTTTCGACCTCGGCAACGTCGACGTCATCACCTACGCGGTGCCCAAACGGCAATTGGCAAAATCGCATTCCGAAGCCAGCCAGGGCGACCCCGTTGTTGCGCCCGACCAGCTGCCCGCCAGGCGGCTGCAGGACAGCGCCGAGGCGCTCCAGGCCTGCCGGCTCGAGGCGCAGAAGCGGCGCGATAACCTTGCCGCCCCGTCCAGACTTACCGCGGCGCCAGCCCTGCCGCCCGACGACAGCCCGGCGTCGGTGGCAGCGCCCGCTACCGAGTCCACTGCGGCGACGCGGTCCATTGCAGCGTTGTCACGGACATAAATCCTGGACAGTAGCTCCGCCCCGCATCCAGGACGCGGCCGACCTCTTGCAACGTGGAACCACTGACGTGCGCCGAGGACGCGAACACATATTGGAATTAGCCAACGGTCACAGGATCGTCAATGAACGCATCCACCTGAAGCTACCGCACATTGTTCATCCAGCTCAGCCCTTGCGCTGGATGACTGCCCATCAGCACCATATTTTGGTCAGCTGGTGCAAGACGACGGCTTCCGTCAAATCGTGGGTCATCAAGTGGGTTAGTTACTGCAGGGCCCGCGTGGTCAATGGTGCAGGGTCGTTGTCAATAACCGAGCCCCAAAACTCGACTCCGACAATCTTGAACGGATTTCACCGCCTCAGTCGTGCACCGCGCTACCTATAGCGCGACGATCTCGAAGTGCGCGACATAATGGACATGACGTATCCTGTCTTGTGCAAACGTTGCGTGGGTAATGCCATCGCGCCGGCGGGCGCGCCTGCGCCTGCGCCCCCAGTGGGCGAAATGGCGCATTGTGATCCTGCGCCGGCGGGCGCGCCTGCGCCCGCGCCACCTGAGAGCGATCTGACGTTTGGCGATTTAGCGGAGGTGGGCGCGCCCGCGTCTGCGCCGCCAGCTCGCGACGCGACGCTAATTGGCCGACCTCGGCCGCCCGCTGACCCCGCGCCTGACGTCGCTCGCAGCCCGGAGACCGAGAGGACAACGTAGACCGCTAAGACTGTCAGGCCTGTTGCTGATGCCGCATGCCTGCGTTTTCCCTCTCTCGGCCCCTCCGCCCGCTTGCGTGCGCGTGTTGTCGAAGATCCTTCGCGCCACAGCTTATGGGGTTCTAATCGCCCGAGGCTCTGCGCAGTGCGAATGTTGCGGGGCGGCCCAATTGCGGCCGATGTGTCGCGTCAGGGACATCTGCAGTCAACAGTCACGTTGTGGCAGGATCGGCCGGGCGACAGCCCCGAGCGCGCGCGACAACCTGGCGCATCTATCTCCGCGGCTGACGGCAGACGTCCTCCGCGCCCGTCGGCAGAGATCGATGCCGAGGGACCCTTTGAGTCTCCAGGCCCAAGTATGACCCTGGAAGCTCCGCGTCTGCTGCTCCCCACCCACCCAGGAACAAATTGTCGAAGTACTCCGTGCTGATAGCGATGATAGCCTGCAGGATGACGAGATGGCTGTGACGGAGACGGCCCTCGCGGAGCAGACCAAGCAGATCATGGCCGAGCATCCTGGCACTGCCTCAGCGCGCAGATCTCCGAGAGACATACTAATGGGCGATCTATCTCCCCGATCAGGCGACCGATAAGGGATGCAACTCTCTCTCCGCCGATCTTGCCACCGACAGCGCTCGCGCAATCCCTGATCAGGCCTTCCGTGATCTTGGTCGCGAGTTGAGCGCCGGCGGGAACGCCTGCGAGCGGAATGAGACGCTGGCCCAGGATAGAGCGCCCGAAATTCAGACGGACACAATAGCTTGCACCGACCTCCTAGCCAATTTCGATGAGCACATTTGCAATATGCATGTGCGCAGACGCCCTCCAGATCGGCGAAACGGGCCAGGGCCGTGTGACATTCGCGCAGCTCAGAGCAAGGCATCGCGCTACTGCGACCACTGCGGGGGGCAAAGCCTTCGGCGAGGGGAGTGTTCCGGTCGCCGACCCCCGCTCTACCCCGTCACCCTCCCCTCCACCGCCGCGCCGAGATGGGCCTGCCATGGGCGATGCCTCCTCGTCGGGCTCGGCGTCTTCAGGTGGCCCTGCTCCTAGCAGCGCGGACTGGAGTGGCGGGGCAACAAATTCCGAGCACTACAGCGACGCGACAACGCATACCGCTACTGGTCGTACTATCTGAACAATTGGATTTCGATCGATGAGAATGAACGTGGTTTTTTTTTGGGGCTTGGTAATATTGCGACTCGAATTCTTGGGACATTTGACAATCGTGGCAATCGCATTTGGGATTTCGCATACTATGACCTATCTGTGTTTCGTTGATTGAATTGTTGTTGATATGATGTCGTTACGTATCTTGTGGCGTTCGTACCATCTGTCGTCCGACGTTGCTGTGGCATTGATAATCTAACGTTTTGAAGCTGCATTCTCTACGACATTCTATATTTTGCTAGCTCATGGCATTATGGGCATAAACGCACCCTGGCAGAATGCCCGCCATCAGTGCCCGACTTAGTTCTGCAAACATCAAGGGCATGCGTGCACCCAGGCAGGTCGCCCGTCGCCAATATTATCGCAACGAACATCAGATTTCTTTTTATGGGAAGCCAGAAGCACAGAGTACGACATATGCAAAGCATGATTTCTATGACTTGTCTTTTTATGGCGCCATCAGATATTCACTTTTTGTTTTTGACGATCACCGTGCATGGTTCAGGCTTGGAGTGCCTGTCGTCATACGTTTTACCGCTACTTTCCTTGATCCGCGGTCGAAAAAATTTGATCGCATGCAAACTGTTCGAAGATGTCGTAACATCTTTGCTACTACCAAGTTGAATTCGGGCCTGGAGAGCCCAGTGAATGACGCTTCTTTTATATTGTAGCTGCTTTGCGCACGAATCTTTGTGCGCTGGTGGAAGCACCCGCATCCTGCGACGCGGCGCTGTTTGTTCCATTTGTTCTTCTTTCCCTTGCTCGCCTAGCCTCGTCCCCCGTGGTGACGGGGAGTCATCCAGGAGTGCCGGTGCGTTTTTTTGGGGCCCACCCTAGGCCCGCTCAAGGCAGGTAGACGGGTAGACTCCCCTAACTACCCTGCGTGGCCGAGACGGCCTCCTTTGGAGGTGCGGTGGGTATGACGGTGTTTTGGGTGGACCTCACGCCTCTGCTCCCCAGCCTCGCCTTCGTCTCCCGCGGGCCCGAGGCCCGTGTGGAGTGGGCGGAGTTCGGGACGGTGTGTGTGTGTATGTGTGTGTGCAGTACGCTCATTTCACCATTATATCGTTTTCCACCGCTGACGTATCGGTTCAAGTATTGGTGAAACATCTCGCGTTGCCTCATTCGCAGCGTCCTGGAAATAAGGACTCCGCGACCCTCTTCATCTCCTCCTTCTACGTACGGGAACCCTTGTAGGTTCGATTTTTCGGCCGTCAACCTACATTTACAGTTTCTTGCGGCGCAGTGGGCGAGGGCTGTCGCAATAATAGTGACGATACCATCGTGGCATAGTCATGGCCGTGTAAAGAGCGGCGGCTGGCGA